AGATTTTTTTTAAATTCATTTGTTTGTAAGTTATAAGCGTTTTTATATTTATATATAAAAAGTGGATGTTTCTTGCTGTCCGGTACTATATAAAGGAAAAAAAGATTTTATTCTTATATAAAAAATATAGTAAATTATACTTTCAAAAATTATAAAATCTTATTCTTTATATATACAGTAGATTGTGAATTAAAATTTTTAGCTAAGGAATATTTTAATAACTTCTTAACTAAATGTATAGGCAGATTTTTAGAATTTATATTAAAACTAGATTTGTTTAAAACTTTAAAATCAAATAACTCTTAATATAAATTTCAAAAATTTGTCTATATAAACTTATAACTAAATAAACAAGTTTATTAAAAAAAATAATAAAATTTTAACAATTAACATGATGCAAATAGCAAAAATGATAATGTAAATAGCAATACCTATTATTTAAGTTTTTAATATAGTTGATTTTTGAGTTATACAGAACTTAGCCAATCAAATCAATAATAGATATATATGTGATACAGATTTTTCAAGCAACAAATCATATTTTAATACTATATTATTGCGAAATAACATGCAAAGATGAAATTACAAATTTCAGTTTAAATTAAGCTTAATTCAGGCTAAACCTTGAAATAACACCCATGGTTGTTATTTTAAGTAATACAGTATATTTTGCTACAAATTGTTTATTTTTAAAACCTAAATAAAAAACCTTTTAAAAGTTTTTCTTGAGAAAGTATACTATATATTTTGCTATATAGCATCTAACCCAACTATAAACACTAACTCTAATATAAATGAACTGTTAGTAAATTTTTGTTATTGCACAAACCTAGCACATACTAATTCTGCAATTGATTGGCTGATTTCCGATCATGTGATATTTTCAAATCCGATAACCTCCCAAACTAATACAAACCCTGTTCACAATGTATACCAGTTTTGAGAGGGCCGACAGTATATTGAAATTTATTTCGACACTCCTACTTTTCGATACTTTTACTTATTTCCCTAACACATATGCCTGTATACTATATATTCTATACATATTACAACTGTTTTCATAAATTCTGGGACGTCTGATAAAAAGTTAGCCGAATGATTTTTCGGCAGATCCGGCTTAAGTTATTGATTTTGGATATATTACATGTGTTTAGAGACAGGAATATTTTCAAAATTCAATTTTTGAAATAATTTGAGATTTATTGGCTAGAATAATTCCATTTTATTCTATTTTATTCTTAACGAAGTATTTCCCGTTCTATCATTGTAATGTTGCCATTCAACATTATTAAACTTTCGTTTGAATACTTGTTTAGCATGTTTGGTGTGTTTAGTTTGTGCGCAAGTTTATAAGAAAGGCAGTTTTTGTTAACAAATAAATCTTGACAAGAAATAAAAAAAGGCTTAAGATATAAAATAGACCTTAATAATAAACATACCACACGAATAGGTGCTAATATTAAAAAAAAGCTAGATATATGACCAAGAATTAGTCAACTGGTTTAAATGTAGCTCAAGATTCCAAAAAATCGATAAAGTGTTGCAAAGGCTTCCATATCTTTGAAAACCGCCTTATAGAAGATTTGCTAAACACCTAAACTTTTGACAATTTTTTGAATCGATAGGCATTCTAAAATTTTTCAATTACAAAGTTTTGGAGTTTCAAGCTTCGGAAAAGGTTTCGGAAGGCATTTCAGGTTTCGGAAAAAGTTTCGGGTTTCGGGTGAGGTTTCGAGTTTCGGATGAGGTTTGGAAACTATAATCTGAAACCCGAAACTTTCGGATTTGGCATAAAAGGTTTCGGTGGCCAACTCTAAAACACGATTATGTATGCAAAATCGATCTCCAGGGCCAGCTTTATTGATATAGTAACAATAAAGATAAATAAAAAATCCAATCATTTGTGAAGTAGAAAGTGTTAAACTTCACAAAATTCTCGATTGTAATTAATATCAACATATTAAAATCTATTGAAAAAATACATAAAAAAGGCTCGTTCTAGAGCTTGTATAAGCAAATTTTGATTTACTACTATAATATTTCTAAGAGTTAAAAGTAAATGAATGAGGGGTTCTACACGCCATGGGTATTTTTTGTGAAAGGTATTTCTGCTTGGCTTAAATGAAAGTATCTTGGTATCCCACTTGCATCCTTTACTAAGACGTTTAAATACAATTCACCGGCTACTTGTATTTCAACGATACCAAATTAATTACTCGTTGGCCTACATGCAACACCTACAAAGCTTATACCATCCAAAGTTTCTCTCCATAATTTTACAGAATCATCCTTTTTTCTTGCAGATCTTTTTTCGTTTATCCTAGAG